GGTAAAATTATCTATTAATTATTTTTCATTTATTAATTTTTAAATTTTTAAATTTTTAAAGCTATAGTATTACATTTTTAATCTTTAAAACTGATTTTATAAAAATTTTATTTTTATTTTTATGTTAACAAAAAAATTAACAAATTTTATTAATTTAAATGTTAAAATTTTTAAATTTTTAAATTAAAAATTAAAAATTTAATTGTGTAAGTGTAACCGTAAGTGTAAGTGTAAGGGGATAAAAATTCTAAACTAAGGTGAGCGTTAAATGTATACTTTAACAAAAGTTTCCGTGACCGAACCGAAGTTTAAAACACCGGAAAATGTCGGGAAAAACACTTCCGACGAACCTTTGCTGCTCGGATTCCTCAAGAGTCCAATGTCATTATTGCAAAGCTTCAAAGAATCGTTAAAGCCCTGCAAAACCCTATCTTCTTCCTCATTTCCATCATTATCATCACAATCTTTTACGCGGTCCTCATTCTCACAACAAGAATCCGACCCAACCGGATTTTCGAGAAAACCCCCCAAATCCTCTATCTCACGGCAGCTTCAACGCCTTGAAGAAGATCATCTTGCTTTGACACAGGAAAGTGAGTTAACCGATTTGCAAAACCTTGAAACGCAACATGCCCATGTTGAAAAGAAGGGAGATGATGAAGAAGAGGAGGAGAAAGAGGAAGAGATTAAAGAATTTCGGAGACCCAATTTGGGTCAGTTCAAGTTTGGTACCACAGGACTTTATGAGCCATTAATTTTGTCTGTGGAGGGAGAAGTTCCTGTTGTACAGGTGATTTCTACATGATTGATTTAGTCAGTTATTTCTTTTTGTTAAAGTTTCGTTCTTTTGCATCTTAAATTACAACTTTGCCAGGTGAATTGGTCCATTTTGAAATTCTGGGTGAAATTCATGTTTATGATTTAGAGAATAGAGAATAATTTTCTGATTAAAAGAAGACTGTATTTAGATGCTCTTAAAATCATAGTGCTACTAATCTGGGTGAAATTCATGTTTATGATTTAGAGAAGAGGGTATAATTTTCTGATGAAAAGAAGACTGTATAGTGCTACTAAACCTACCTGGCGTTGATGATTTAATGTAAACAAATTACGAAACTAGGAGAGTTGCAAATTTAGGAAAAAAAAAAAAGAAGACTTTCCTTAAGGACAGTGCTTATGTAGTGAAAGATTAAACAACAAGGGCTTATGGATTTAAATTAAGTTGGATGATAAATTTGTTTTGTAGAAAATATGCATTTTTACACATAACCATGAGGGAAAAGTTAGTACATGTTTGGTGCATGATTGACTGAAAGTGAATAAAATATTTGTTGACATGGTTGGCCCTTTATTTCTTGTGTTTTCTGCTTTTCTATTTGTGGGCATTGCAGGGATTGAATCT